GGTTGGTTATTAGAGGTAGTATTAGTTGGGTTTGGGTTGTCTTGGTTGGTGGGTAGATGGGTTGATTTCCTATCTTTGGTGTTGGTTAGTTAGGTCTGTTTATTTTATTAAACCTCTTAAAAAGACTGCAGTACTGCAAATACAGATTATTAAAAACACACAACAGCTTTTATAAATAAAAGCCAGAGTACACACACATGCAAGCTGCAATACTACAAGATACAAGATAACAAATATAAAAAACTGAATTTAAGAAACGGCGGTCCTGCATCTGTTCTTACTACCAGAGGGTCAAAGGAGCCTCCTGCTGATAAACCCTCTCGAGCTGTTTTGGGTTGTAACGGAGATTTCAGAGCCAAACTGTCCTGTTTGGCTTCCTGGTGTCACCGGCTGTGATGCTGCGCCAAAAGATGGCCGCAACAAAAACTGCTGTATTTTTTTAAAAGAAATGTTTCCTCAGGAAGTAGAGTTACATCTGTTCTTTACTGTAAACAGCCTTGGTGCTACATCACCAGTCCAGGTGAACACCCAGGTATTTGTAGCTCCTCACCGCCTTCACTTACTCTCCCCGCATGGAAACAGTGTTAAGCTTTGACCTGGTCCTCCCAAAACTTACCACCATCCCCTTCATCATGTTTGTGAGTTGGTGACTACAGCACCAAGCCAAATGGTGGAGAAGTCATGAGTAAACTATGTGTTTTGTGCAGGTGTGGGTACTAAGATCGACCCGACGCTGTGCCGAGCAGATCGTATGGTCGGTCAGGTGCTAGGCGCCGTCGGAGCGCTCCCGGAGATCTTCACTGAGCTCGAGATCTCCTATTTCCTGCTCAGGAGGCTGCTTGGAGTCCGCACAGAGGGAGACAAGAAGGCTGCTAAGGTGAGCAATGCCTTGTGGGAAAGGGAGGAAAGATGCGTGAGCTTCTCAGACTTTGGTATTAACAGCCTGACTCTCTTCCTGACCTGCAGGTTCAGAAACTGTCCAAGAACGAGGTGCTGATGGTAAACATCGGCTCGCTGTCGACAGGTGGCCGTGTCAGTGCGGTCAAAGCTGATCTGGCCAAAATCGTGCTGACTAACCCGGTGTGCACAGAGGTCGGAGAGAAGATCGCTCTGAGCAGACGTGTGGAGAAACACTGGCGGTAAGAGTGAGGGCGGAGATGTGTGTGTGGTGTTTGCACAGATGTTTCTGGCTGCAGTGTCAGAACACGCCTCCTGATGTGTAACTCTCTCTCTCTGTCTTCCTTGCAGTCTGATTGGTTGGGGACAAATCAGGAGAGGCGTGACCATCACACCCACAGTGGACGACGACTGAGACTAGCAAACGCATGGCCATCACACTCTTCTCTTCTTTTTTGTTTTTTTTATTTTTATTTGTTCCCCACACGGAGGAGGGAGGGGAAGTGAACACGGACATATCGGCGGTTTGAAGACGCTTCCTCGCTCTGCTCCTCTTCCTCTGCAGCGACATGCAAAAGTCGAGCTCTGAACTTCTGCTTCGTGCTGGAGATGAAGGAGGACCCAGGAAGGGAGGAGGCGCTTCAGACTGTCGTAACAAAACTCCAGAAACCAGTTTGGAGATGATCTGTACTAACCTCAGATTACAGGTGGAATAAAATCAATTTGGAAGGAACCAGGTCGTCTTTGAGCATCATTCTTGCTGTTACAGGGAAACTCAGAGATGAAATTACTTGGTGGATAAGTTTTAATTTTGACCAAATTGTAATAAAGAAAAAAAAATTTTTTTTCCTTTTAAAAAATGGTGAATGGCCCCCTTTTCTTTGTTTTATGTGATAATAAGATTAAACTTTGTGTCGTCCCAGAGAGCTTACAAATTTAAAAAAACAACAACAAACTATTAAAAGTAGACACTGGTCCATTCATTGTATGAATGGCTGTTAGAGGTCCGAATTAAATTTAAAAATAAAACGTCATTTTGCCCTTTGAAATTGCCGTCAGGGGTTGAAAATACCCCCGAGGTCAAAAAGCGTTGAAAAACGTGTGGGAGTAAGTTTAAAAGCCATACAAACTATGCAGAATTAAATATGAACAGTTTCTTAATGCTTTGAACCATTAATCGCACTGATGAATTGCGGGGATTCGTTCAACTGTATAGAAATCCTAAAATCTTAATCATTGTCAAGCGAGTTCTGAACGGTTCGACCTCCCGCCTCAGTGCAGATGCTACAGATCGTTAGAATTGCTTAAATTACCCCTTAAAACCTAACAGTAGTATATTCCATACAATGATAAATTACTTTTATATAATTAGGAGGCGATGTGCAATGCCGTATTGAGGCAATGCATCATGGGACGCTCAGACCTCGCCTAAGAATCTTTACGTTTTAAAGATTTTTTTTGTTTGTTTAAGGTTAGCAGTAGTTCAGTGATACTTTTCTGCACACGTTGTGTTGCAGATCAAAAAAAATCTGTTTATGGTTAATTCGGCTTTAATAATTCTTCTAAACGACTACTTTTTTTTTAATGTTACCACATAGCAAAAGATGGATATCAGCATATACGAATATATTAACATACACCTCTATGACCCAGTATGGATTTATTTTCAGTAGCTTTTGAAGTAGTTTTTGAACTTGAACAAACTCCCTTTTAAAAATTTAAATGTTTATATTTTTGTATTGTATGTTTTTATTTTCAAAATATTCTCAAACTGACCTCCACGGTCTTATAACCGTGTATAAATATTTGCATTTTAATGGCTTCTATGGCAACAATTTACTGAAGGTGGTGTCGCGCTTCCGGGTTGATCCACCTGACGAGCACGGGACGTGACGTCACGCAGGTGGCAGCCTCTCCGTCTCCGCTCAGAGAGAAGTAGAAGGAGTGATTGAGGAAAACGCCGAATTCTTGGACTTTATGGATCCTGCGGGCGTGATTCAGACTCGGTGCAGAGTTTAGGGAGAGTCGTTTGTTTGTTTGTTTTTTCTTGTTATGTTTTTCTCCAAACTGACCGTCAGCGAGTCGCGACTGACTCATAAAAACACACCCGATATATATCTATATCTTCAATAGTTTGTTTGTGTTTTGTCTTCAGATTATGGAGTCTGCAGGTAAGAGGACTTCTGCTCTTCAGTACATCAACAATTAAACTACAAACCCTGATTTTTATCCTGAAAGATTATAATTCTTCCTCTGAATCCATCTTTTATTGCTGCTGATTCAAAAACCTAAACTAGCTTGAAAATAAAGGAGGTTTTTCATGGCTCTAATTTCACTGCAGGGTTATTTTTATATGCTAAAGTTTTAAGCATTGACTAGTTTAACAGGACCTGTAATACAGGAAGGTATAATTACCAACAGGTTAATGTTTAATCTCAGTGCTGTGACCATTTCAGGCCATTTGCGGCCTTTTTCTAAGCAGTATATTAAATAGTAACACCTTGTTTCAACACTATGTTAGCCAGGTGCTTTCCCAGGATTACGAGTTGGAGGCAGCATGTTTGTTTTAAATTAGCTGTTCAAGCGACAATGAAAATAAAGATATTCATTCATGTGTTCTTTTAAATAGTGAGCTCTGTGCTCCACTACACACGCACTGCATGAAAAGTGTCTGCAGTTTTTGTATCGATTAACTGTTTTAGTGTAGAAACAAGTAGCAGTGGTAGATTCTGTACTAAGTCAAAGTCATAATCCTTCAGCTCTACTACAAAAAAATTCAGCATCAAATTAAACTTACATATCTAAAGTAAAACCAGCGGATATCCAGATCCTCTGTGGGGACTCCTAAAGGAGCAAATAAGACAGCAACTGAAACCTTAGTGAAGAGGCTCATATACGCGGGTAGTGCATTCAAACACTTGCGCACACCTGCACTACGCTGCATACTTTCAGTATCCCTGTTTTTACTTGTTCTTACTTCTTCTTTAAGTTGGACCAATTCTGCTTCAAGCACAATTTTTTATTCCACTATACTAGAGTAGTTTGGCATGACTGGCAGCTCAAAATAACCCTTCTTTAGCCTTTACTGGGCTTTGGTGAACCGCATCAGTTCATTGCCTATCTATAACAAAACCAATTAAACCCCTCCCCCTTCAAGCCAGCTTACTTCTGATTGGCTCCTGCTCGTAAGCTGGAAATGGGTGAAGCTTCTGTATCTGCATATCTCCTCTCTATTACATCATACAGACAGAGAGTTGAAAAAACTGTGCAAAACGGAGTGTTTTTGGATCAGTGTGAACTTTTGGCCCTCAGGTGTTACTTTACACACACCGACCTCTTTATCAGCAGGTTTAGCACAGGAACAGGATACATGTGACAGAAAATAAGGAAGAACAGATAAGTCTCTACCTTCTGTCCCTGCAAGTCATAAATAGATATTTTCACATTAATTATAATTTAATAAACCTGTAAATATGCACATATGAATCAAAACCACTGTAATGATAATGATTTCTCTTTGTTTTTAATTGGTAATTTAATTTGGTATCTGAAGAGGCAGTTCAGTGTTTTTACAGGGACGGGTATGTAGCTTGAACCAGTCCATACACCACAGGATTTATAGCTAACCCCATCCATCGCTCATCCCTTAAATAATCTCAGATGTCAAACTGTGACTTTTGACGAGACTCAACTTTTCTCTCCTCCTATCATTGATTAGATGGTCAGCGGGGGCGGGACGGCAGTGGCAGCAGGTGGAAAGGTTCCCCACTTGATGTGATCATGAGTCAGATCCGCAGGAAGCGCACGGCCTCAGACAGGAAGCCGTTAGGACGCTTCCTGTCGTGGACCTCGGACCGGCCGGGGATCCCCGAGGACGGAGAATCGGAGATGAAAGAGGACAGAGGACCGAACTCAGGTTTGTACTGTTCAAAGCAGCACGAGATTTTAACTTAGATTTTTTTTAATGGGTGTTTAGTTCAAGGTTACACTGAGGGCCCCAGGAGTCTGGGGCAGCTGTAGGTCAAAAGGTAGAGCAGGACATCTACTAATCAGAAGGTTGGTGGTTTGAGCCCTGACTGCTCCGGTCTGCATGCCAAATATCCTCGGGATAGATGCTAACCCCAAGCTGCTCTCCGATTGCATCCATTGGAGTGTTAATGTCAGATAGAAAGCCTTTACATCAAGAAAAAAATGACGCACTTTAATTGCTCAACTAGAAAAGCTGTATAAGAACCAGTCTGTTTAGGAGAAGCAACCATTCTGTATTCACAGTACTGCAGTCTTTTTAAGAGAAAGTGACTTAAAAGATCATTTAAAAGAGAGAAAGAAAGAAAAATCCTAGTATTTCAAACATGTCCTAGTTTTTAGAGAGGAAAGCGTAAAGAGGTTGCTTTATTTTTTTTTAAAAAGGTGGATAAAATCAGAGGTTCAGAAACAAAATACAGAGCTCAAGAAAATAGAGGTTACTGTGGAAAATCAGTTTACAGTGACATGCTAAGCCCTGTGGGTGTGTATCGTGTGTTTCAGGCTTTGCAGCGTCAGCAGAGAGTGAGCGGGACGTCGGCTGGGGTCGAGTGTGTGTTTTCTTGAAGAGACTCGGGAAGAAAGCTGACAACAGGAGCCTCAGTTTGGCTCACTGTGATCTGACGGCTACAGACCTGCTGGAGCTTGGTACAAAAACGCACATACCTGTCACACAAGACAGACATGGTATCTGTCAGATAACTGCATTAAAAATACGCCCAAAGGCACAAACACAATGATGCAGCTTCATTTCAAGAGGCGGAGCATCTGAAATTAAGTCTGAATAAAGTAATGTGACTTCATTGTAAGGCGTCAGCTGGCAGAAAGGCAGACAGATGTTTTTCTTGCCGTTTCTTCTCAGCAACGTTGCTGCAGTTCCTCCCCCAGGTGGAAGAGATGGACATCTCCTGGAACGAGTTGATCGGTGGATCCCTGACGGCTCTGACGTCTCATCTGCAACACGTGGGCGAGGTCAGGACGCTGAGGCTCTGCAGCTGCAGGCTAAATGGCGAAGACGTCGTTGCTCTTGGTGGGATCTTCAGTGCAGACACTCTGCTTTATTTATTCTTATTTATAGCTATAACAGAACAATCTCTTTATGCAATCAAGTTATTTTTGCTTGATTTCCTTCCTCACTACAGCTCCCATGAGGCTTTGCTGAATGGTTCACACTCTTGCCTTGACAGAAAAACTTTTGTCTGATCACATGTCGTTGGATTTTTCCGTGTTTTGTGCAGGTGAAGCTCTCAGCTACATCCCTGCTCTGGAAGTTCTTGATTTGTCCTGGAACAGCGGCGTTGGGGGCGGTGGTCTGCAAGGCCTGCTGGGGAACCTTCACCCATCACTGAGGGAGCTCCACCTGGTGGCCTGTCAGCTCACTGCGGCCGATGCTACAGTGCTGGGTAGTAACTTCAAATCTATGGAGCACATTTTGAGCTCCATAGTTTTATTCCTCAAGTAGAATAGAATAGAGTAGCTTTTCATGATTTATATTCAAAATAATCCTTCTTTATCTTATATTGGGCTGTGCTTCACCCCTACAGTTCATCCACTG